TTATAAATTGTAATTTACTTGAAGGTTAAAAACCTTTAGTTCATGACAGAGTTTCTAAGACACAGACATTTGTTCGAGTGCAGAGTTACAGTGATGAAGAAAAGATATTCATGCCTCCTTCCTTCAGTCCTTCCCTCAGTCCTTCCTTTATTCCTTTCCTTTCCACTTCCTCTCATCACAACTTGAACTTGTTTGTGACCTTGATGACGAGACTTAAACACACACACACACACACACACACACACTGGGCCCGTATAAGATTTATATATAATGTCCTTCTCTTCTTATATTTAAGTGTTTACTCTTTCCTTGTCTTACATGTTCTACGATATAAAAGTGTTTATCTATATAAAGAATCTAGGTTCTATTTGGATGAGGAATATCAGGGTGGAGGACGTTCACCGTGGTTTTATTTTAATTATTTTCAAAGCTCTCTCTCGCTCGTGTCAGACTCGTTCTCACTTCATCCAGACGTCTCCTCGCTGCACCGGCCGCTGCCGTCGTATCTTAGCTCTTCAGCTGACGAGAGAAGACGAGAGAGAACTTAAGAGCATTTAGAGCGAGGGCTGAGAGGCCGTTCTATCCAAGATGGCGGTCGCGGCGGTGCTGAGTAATGTCTGGTGCTCAGGTAAGCACTTCCTCTGGCGTCGCTCTTCCTGGACCAATTATTCCTGCAGTCCCAGAAGTCACCACCAACAGGAAGGTCCACAGACGGTAGTTAAGAGGACGTCTGCCGCCTCCTGGGTGAATGAAGTTTACATTTAAAGAAGTAAATTAGAGGAAGGCATCATCAGTTTTCAAGTTTCTGCTGAGCAGAGTTTTCCTCTCGGATGTTCTCAGGTTATAAAAGGAAACGAGCTGCAGGGAATCAAACTTTTAGAAAAGAGAGGAAGGTTTTTGGGTTTGAATCTTGACAGTGAAGTGTTTCTTGTTTCAAATGATTTCATCAGCAGAACTGGAGAAACACAGATGGCACAGAGCAAAAGCAACGTCTCTCTGGTTCCACTTCTTCTTTTTAAAAAGACACTTTGACTTTAGATGAGCACGTTTACGACATCGTCCTGAAGGTTTCGATTTCAAACCAGCAAACAGACGGGTGGAAACATTCCTTTATTCCAGAGCTGCACATACACAGGTTTAATCCATCTTATCTGTTCTGTTACTCATTTCTAAACGGAACATTTATCATCTCATTCTCATCAGTAACAATGGTTTATTCTGCAGCACTGACGCACGGGGAGAGGGAAATGTTGTCGGGGATTTGAACCAGCAACCCTCTGCTGCCCTGACGCTGTGTTAGCGTGATGTCACCTGTGTGTTTTATTCCGTGCACGTGTCTGATGTGTATCTGTGTGTGTTTCCTGCAGATATCAGGATGTCTAAAGCAGCAGAGGAGGAGAAGCCTGGGGCGGAATATCCAGGGGACAGTTCAGGTACGACACACACACACACACACACACACACACACATATTTTATGATATGAATGACACATGTTCCATTGTGTCCAATATTTAGTTTTATTATTTGAATATATTTAAAAATGAATGAACATTAATCTTTTTCAAATCACAATCTGATCTTATCATCCTCACACACACACACACACACACACACACACACACACACACACACACACAGACACACACAGACACACACACAGTGTAATAAACAGTCCACGTGTCTCTTTGTGTTTCAGACTCTGACAGAAACAGCCCCGACGACCAGGTTGGTTTTCTACATTAACTCTGACTTTAATAATAATTATA